TGAGAGCTTGGTCTTGCTTCTCAGAACCATAAAACAAAACAGTAACAAAAAGAGAAAGTGCCAGGCAGTGGTGGCACACACCTTTAAGCCCAGCACTAGGAAGGCAGAGGCAGGCAGATCATGTGAGTTTCCTGCTAGTCTGGTCTACAGAGAGAGAGAGAGAGTTCCAGGACAGCCAGGGCTACACAGAGAAACTGTATCTTGAAAAACCAAAAGGAAAAAAGAAAGGGGAAAAAAAGGAGGAAAGCAAATTCTGAGAATCAAAGCTAGGGTAGGAGCAATTTCAGGAGCTCAGAGGTAGAGTGTTTGCCTCACAAGCCTAAGGACCTGTTAGATACTTACATATATATACACAGGATAGAGAGGACTATGAGACTGAGGGATAATAACAACAAAAGAAAACAGGAAAGTCTATGATGGGACAGGAACAGAATGGACTAAATATTAACAGAAAGAAGCACTCTTAAAAGTTGTCAGCACACACACAAGCAAACAAAAACCACCTTTAATCCCAGCACTCGGGAGGCAGAGGCAGACAGATCTCTGAGTTTGAGAACAGCCTGGTCTACAGATGGAGTTCCAGAACAGCCAGAGCTTCTTCACAGAGAAACCCTGTCTCAAAACAAAAACAAAAAGCCAGCAACTCTTTGCTGTAGTTATAGGTATATACCTATATAAGGAGACAAAAAATAAGGCTTTGATCCCTGATTCCCACACTAGTTCAAGGATCTGGGTCCTGGGATCAAGGAGAAGAAAAGTGGGTAATCAGATGACAAAGTGTGCCATTGGCCAGTGCCTGGAAGCACTGTACCTGAACAGTGAGTGCTAGCTCCTGTTAGTTACTATGTCTCTCTTTCCAGAGCCATGGTCAATCAGCAGAGAGAGAGAAAAGCAGTTCAATGGCTACTACATGCAACAGTGTTACCTTCTTCGAGCTTTGCTTTTTTTCTTTTTGCAGTACTCAGCATTGAACCCAAGCCTTGTACATGTTAAGCAGGTGCTTCACCACTTAATGTTATCTCTGGCCTACAACAATGTACAGAGGTACACAAAGGATTATGGGAGTTCAGTTTCTGCCCATTCTGAAAACAATAAACATGGGAGGGACTAGATACCACCTTTATTCAGGGCCTGTTTCTGAATAAAGACTGCTCATATACCGCTAAGAGCACTTGCTACTCTTCCAAAGGACCCAATTTCATCTGCAAGCACCCATATCAGGTAGCTCACAACTGCCTGTAACTCCAGCTCCAGGGGATCTGATGCTCTCTTTTGGTCTCTGAAGGCACCTTCACACATGTGACACGGAAACATGGATGCACACACACACACACACACACACACACTTACTTTAAAATACATAAAAGCCAGACAGTGGTGGTGCACACCTTTAAGCCCCATTTAATCCCAGTACTCCAGAGGTAGAGCAGACAGAACTCATTCTATGTGAGTTCAAGAACGCCTAGTCTACAAAGAAAGTTCCAGGACAGCCAGAGAAACCCTGTTCAAGAAACTAAAACAAGCAAATAAATACATACATAATTTGAATTATATAAACTGAAAATGTACTCTAATTTAATTACTACATATTCACTGACTTGAACTGCAAACAGTTGATTCTAAAGCTTTTGTTCAACAAAATTGGGAATGTTTTTTTTCCTTTTTTTTTTTTTTGTTTTTCAAGACAGAATTTCTCTGTATTCCTTTTGGAGCCTGTCCTGGAACACTCTGTAGACCAGCCTGGCCTCGAACTCACAGAGATCCACCTGCCTCTGCCTTCCAAGTACTAGGATTAAAGGTGTATGCCACCAACACCCTGCTTGACAGAAACTTTTTAATAAAACGTTTGTAAGTACTTTTTGTGTATCTGTGCACCACATGCCTATCTGGTGCTCACAGAGGCCAGCAGAGGAAGACAGATACCAATCCTGGAACTGAAGTGGTTGGTTGTGAGCCACTTCATGGGTGCTGGGACTTGAACCCTGGTCCTCTACAAGAGCAGCAGGTGCTCTTAACTACTGAGCCATGTCTTCAGCCTCCCAAACTAGTAATTCTTAAATGTGCTAGACACTATGTGGGCTCTGAAGTCACAGGACTTACAAGTCGAGGGAAGTCAGATACTCTTACAAAATTACAGCCTACCAAAGGAAGGTGAAAGGAGATTGACCCTCTCAGCTTCAGGGCTATGTGTAAATAGAAGTGTTACATAGACATCACACAGAAATGAAGTTAATAAACTTTCAGTCTCTTAACTGCTGTAGCAAGTTGGTTTAAAAGCTAGCAAAGGAGGTACAGAATGACAGGAACTCTTATTTCCCTTTAGCCTTATTACGATCATCAGGATAAGGTATCAGTTGAAGTTATCTTGCAGCCTCACTATCAACATACTGCAATGGAAATATACAAGTCAGTATTAAAAACCTGGGGGAAAGGCCCGGCAGTGGTGGTGCACACCTGTGATCCCAGCACTCGGGAGACAAAGGCAGGTGGATATCTGTGAGTTCAAGACCAGCCTGGTCTATGAGAGCTAGTTCCAGGACAGGCTCCAAAGCCACAGTGAAACCCTGTCTTCAAAAACAAAAAACAAACAAACAAAAACAAAAAACCTGGGGGTAAGCTGGGCAGTGGAGGTGCACACCTTTAAACTCAGCAATCAGGAGACAGAGGCAGGTAGATCTCTGTGAATTCGAGGACAGCCTGATCTACAATGCTACACAGAGAAACCTTTGGTTTTGAAAAAACAAAAACAAAAACAAAAAAAAAAAAAAAAACAAAAACCTGTGGGAAACCTTTCTAGACAATCTTTAGGTTGTAATGCAACATAATACCATATTGCTGAGCAAAATAGTTTATTTAGTATAAAGAATATAGCAAGAAAGCAACTTACAGAAAATGAAAATAGCCACTCTTGCTAAGTCTTGGTTAAATCTAAATGATATCTTGAGATCTAGTGGTACTGTAGCATGGTAACTTACACAAGCACATTAAACCAACACCTAAGAATTTTCAAACACAATTAGCTACCAGGTGTGGTGGTACACGCCTTTAATCCTGTGCTCCCAATATAGAGGCAGGTGAACCTCGGTGATTTTGAGGCCAACCTGGCCTACATAGTGAATTGCAGGTCAGCCAGGACTACAAAGAAAGACACTGACTCAAAACAAAATGTTAAAAATGGTTATTATAGCTAGGTAGTGGTGGCACACACCTTTAATCGCAGCACTTGGGAGGCAGAGCAGGTGGATCTCTGTGAGCTCGAGGCCAGCCTGGTCTACAGAATTAGTTCCAGAATAGCCAAAGCTACACAGAGAAACCCTGTCTTGGAAAATAAAAACAGAACAAACAAACAAAAATCACCCTTATAACCAAGGTGGGGGGGGGGGAGCCTGATGTGATGGCTGTTACATTTGCAGTTAAACTCCTTACTTTTATTGGCCACATTTTTTTCCAGCTCCTACCACACTAAAGCACAATCACCAGTTCCACATCTGAATTCCCAAATGGCTCTAAACAACCCACATGTGAGTGTTCTCTTAGTCTCTTTTATCCCCAAGGTCAGAACGTGAATGTGCAACAGGTGCTTTGACCAAAAGACAAAGTAAGTGGAGACATGAAAGTTCCTGCTCTGTAATCCAGACACTCAGGCAGCTGAGACAGGAGGATTGCCACAAGTTCAGGCCAACTGGACATACAGAATGAGACACTGTCTCAAAAAAACTAACTAAAATCAATTAAATACCTCCAGCACAACCTATCATACGAATTAAATTCCTGCAGTGTTTCAAAATCCTGACAACTATACTTGTATGTAATCTCACAGGCACATTTGCAGAATTTGCCATTTAAGTGAAATTTATAAGAAAAACCCACACCAGAGACACCTTGCTCAATTGTTTTCACCTCAAAGAGAATGACTTCATCTTCTATGTAAATGCTTCTGTCACTGAACAAAATGGAGTTTACATAATCTGTTACTATAAACTTAAGAACCAATTGAAGTTAACTTGTCAATACTTCTAGCTTGTTGCCCTGCCCACAGAGCTGCCTACCCACAGACATTTTTAAGGATTATAAAGAGCCCTCTTTGTAAGGAAAACAGTAGTCTTCTTTAAATGCATTGTAACCAGCAATTTTAGTCACTGGCTATTTTCTCAGACTTCAATGGGCACAGTGAGTACTTTAGTATTATTCTCCCTGTCTTCTTCCCATGAAGCAAAGACTTGTAGGCTAATTTGTAAGTAGGCAGAAAATGTCTTTATTATATCAATTAAAATACGCTTAGCAATTCACACTTAGAAAAGCTCCAGGAATCCTAGAAGAGGTATCATATTATAAGATATTCTCATGCCAAGTGATAAATTATAGTGCCAGATGTACACTCTCCTCGGGTTTAGAGGGTTGTATCTAACTACGTTCCAAGTGAGGAGGTTCTTCCACAACCGAAAAACTGCACAGGCGGCCCAGGGGCCGCTGTAGGAAGACCCTTGGAGAAAAATCGCTGGAGGGATGAGTAAGTCCTAGAGGGGTCTGCCAAAGGCGGAGTCGTTCATTCATCTCCGCAAACTCGAACTAATAAACACGACCAGCATCCCTCGGCGCTTGGATCTTACAGACCCGAGATGAATCCTGCCCTCAAGGACAGCGGACTGAGGTGGCGAGGAGGGTGATGGCACTCAGACACTATGACCTCCCTTGTAAAGCAGTTCTGAGGAACTGATTTCGCCCGCGATTCTTTTTCACCTCTTGTTTAACTCAGACACTGCATACCGCAGGTGCTTACTGTTTGCTGACTGAATAAATACATGTGAAATAGTTGTTTATCGCAGACGCAGCATACCGCAGGTGCTTACTGTTTGCTGACTGAATGTATAAATACATGTGAAACACTCTCCCCAACGCAGCTCTGCAGGTGCACCTCTACCGCCGTTCCCGGGGCTGAGCCGGCCCGGAGACCTCGGACCCTGGCCGTGCCGTCCTCCCCGCCCCCATGCGGCACTCACCGTTGGTGTAGGGAGATCCCGAGGCCGAGGCAGCCCCGTTCTGGGCCTGGAGGCTGGCTGTGGCGCCGCGGGCGGCCGGGATCCCGGGCTGGGCCATGGCGCCCGGGGTTCTCAGGGTAGGACGGAGTCGTCGGGGTCGACCGAGAGCTCGGAGAAGGAAGCCGAGGGGAGGAAGCTGAAGGCCTGAGGGCGGCAGGTCAAGGCCGAAGCATGGCGTCTCGGTCTCCTCAGCCCGCCGGCGACCACGACCCGGCCTGGGCGCGGAGAGGCTCGGGAGTCTGGCCGGCGGGGCCGCAAACGCCGGGCTCGGAGGCGCCAGCCGAACCCGGAGAGGAGGCAGGCCCTGGGAGGAGCCGCCGGCCGCGCCGCGCAGGCACAGTGGGGACACGTGGCACTTCCGGTTCCGGCTGGGCGCTCTCTGTCCTGGCGGAGCTGCCCCGAGGCCACCTGATAGTCCCGTGGCCGGGCCCGGAGGACCGTGCACGGACTCGCCGTCCACGTCACGGGCTCCCGCCGCCCACCGGAAGTGGCAAGTGTCGCCACTACGAAAATCCCCGGCGTGGAGAACGTCACCTCCCTGTCAGATGATCGATGATCGGGAATCTGAAGGAGGTGTGGACTTCGAGTCCTATTCCGGGATTCACTGAGGATTACCTGAAACAGATGTCTTCGTCTGCAGTCCGGACCCAGTCATCGCTAGTGACTCAGTCGGTGCCATGCCGGATGTAGAGTGTGGGGAATTTTAAAAAGAAATGTTAAAATAACACGTGTGTGTATCAGTGTCGTGGGCCGAAAGTGGTAGCAAATGAAAGGCCGAGGCAGGCGTGTTGATTTTTAAGTTCGAAAGCAGCCTAATCAGGTCTGCCAAGGCTGAAGAGAGGTCAAGGTAAAAATTGATGTTAAGGAGGAAGCATTTTCTTTTCAATTGGAAGATTCAGGGGTATTTTAATTCTGAAGTTAGCTTACTCATAGCATAGTCACTCCAGAGTACGTTCACCCTGCATGGATGGATCAGCAATCCCTACTCTTCCTTTCCCAGTGTTGACAATGGAATCCAGGGTCCTAGGGAAGCACTCATTTCCCAATGAGCTACACAGCTTCTAATAGCAAGTATTTAGTTAATATTGAGGCTCATGGCCTAATAACATATTTAAGTAGTAATTTTAAATCAGTGGTGGTGGTGTACTCCAGTATTTCTGGTTACTGGAAAATGAGTCAGGAAGGTGCTGAATCCAAGACCAGTCTGGGCAATTTAACAGGACACAATTTCTCAGAAAACGGTTAGGGATATAAGTTACTGGTAGAGAGTTTACTCATCCTTGTAGGAAGAAAACCTGTTCAAAAATTCAAAGGCGCCGGTCGTTGGTGGCATAAGTCTTTAGTCCCAACACTCGGGAGGCAGAGGCAGGCAGATCTGAGTTCGAGGCCAGCCTGGTTTACAGAGCGAGTTTCAGGACAAGCTCCAAAGCTGCACAGAGAAACCCTGTCTTGAAAAACAAAAATGAAGGGGAAAAAAAAAAAAACACCCCAAAGGCAGTTTTGCAGTTTAATTCCTCTTCTGAGTCTTTACATTAAGGGAAATAATTCAGACTTCCCTTTCTGAGCAAGTAGTTTGTGAGCTTTTTAAAATTTTTTGTTTTGTTTTGTTTTTCTACCCCCAAATAGACTTTTTAAGGCCAAAAAGAAGTAGAAACTGGTGTTGATTACACAACATAATTAACGATATCAGTAGTAATCTTAGCTACCTTCATTCTACTTCAGTTTTTCCTGCTCTAAGCAGATGACAAAGTCCTTCATAGATGTGTACTGCTGATTAAAGTGTGGTGTTATGACAATAGTTTCACAACGTCAGGGGAAAGTACATCTTACCTAATTCGTTAAACATCTAACGCCTGCTGTGAAGTATACATAGAAAAAGAACAGTCTAAAACTGTCAAGTCCCAAGAAGCAAGCAGTAAAATATAACCTCTTTCTTTACTCCTTCGACATAGCAGCTTCAGTGTCCGAGGGTTAGTGGCGCCCAGGAACTACACACCCTCGAGGTGACTGGCCATCGAAGGTAGCCCAGATCAAAGCTCCTGTGGCCTCACTGGAAGGCATTGCCCTGCAAGTTCAAGTCATGTAACTGGAGGATGAGGCCACCCTAGACTAGTATGGCGTAGAGGCTACCACTCCGGAAGTAGCTGGCTGCATTCTAGGAGGTAAAATTCATGGTTCCCTGGCTTGTTCTGAAAAAGTGAGAGGTCAAACTACCAAGGTGGCCAAACAGGAAAAGAAAAAAGACAACAGGCCCGGCCAAGCGTCGAGTGCAGTCAGCCATTTCATTTTCAATGTCGTGCCCACCTTTGGCAAGAAGAAAGGCTCCAATGCTAATTCCTAAGTCCTGTTGTGATTCTGGAATTCTAATTATGCCACTTTGCCCAGAAAGTTTTGTTTTTGCCAGGCAGTGGCGTGAGCCTTTAATTCCAGCACTCAGGAGGCAGGCAGATCTCTGTGAGTTCAAGGCCAGCCTAGCCTACAAAGCTATACAGAGGAAACCCTGTCTCAAAAAACCAGAAAACAAAACAAAAAAAATTATCCTAACTTGGATTTTTTATTATAACCATACTAAAATATATTATCTGTGAGTGAAATTCAACTTTCTTTGTTTTTCTTTTTTGGTTTTGTTTTGTTCTTTTTTTTTTTTTTTCTTTTTTCTTTTTTTTTTTAAGCGGGGGTTTCTCTGTGTAACCTTTGCTGTCCTGGAACTCCCTCTGTAGACCATGTTGGCCTTGAACTCACAAAGATCTACCTGTCTCTGCCTCCTGAGCACCGGGATTAAATTGCGTGCACCACCACCTGGCTTCAACTGCTTTTTTTTTTTTTTTTTTTTTTTTTTTAAAGATTGTTTTAAAGTTTATTTTTTGTATGTGTGAGTGCCTACAGGGAAGTATTTTACACCACGTGGATGCAGAGCCCACAGAGCCCAGGAGAGGGTGTTGCATCCCCTGTTGCTGGAGTTGACCAGCAATTGTGAACGCCCTGATGTGAGTGATGGAACCCTGGTCCTCTGTGCAAGAACAGCCAGTACTCTTCACTGCTGAGGTGTCTCTCCATCTCTCTCCCCCTTATTACAAGTTCTGTGTAGGCTTCTTTAGTAAAAAGATACTTTTAATCAAACTTTCACCTAAGAGCATCTATGACACCAACCCAAACATATTTAAGAACAATAAAGCAAACAAACAAAAAACCGAACACAAACACAAATCTTGCTTTAAAGAGAAAATGGAACTCAGAAACTGAAGTTTTGTGAGGTCAGGAAAAAAAGGTCACTCTTCAGAGAGGTAAATGCCATGGGTTCCAACTTCCCTTGGTTTAATGGTCTCTTTATAGCCAACTCCTTTGGAATAATCTTGGTTTGTTGACCTTGGCACAATGGTTTGATTGGTTAAATCAATCTTTCTTTGAACTTGGCCTGTTTAAGCAATATGTGTGTTCAAATCTTAAGTACATAACCTCATTGGTTAAATCAGTTAAATAGCTATAAATAGTTTGTTAATAAATAAACAATTTTGCTTCACCCCTAAGTTTCTCTCTTGTTATTAACCCCAAATCATGATTAAATCTCTAAATGTTTTTTATATTTTCAATTAATAACTTTAAGATATGAGGAGAAGCCAGGCAGATTAAAGCACACTCCTTTAATCCCAGCATTTGGGTGGCAAAGGTAGGTGGATCTTTGTGACCAGAACTAGTTCCAGGACAGCCAGGACTACACAAGGAAACTCTAGAAAAACAATAAAGGAAGAAACTTGCTGATATATGTAGACTGAGGCTCACAATAGGCTCCTTTGTCTGAGTACTCAGAATTGTTAGATTATCAGCTGATGAAGTCAATACTTTCAGGAAGGGGCTAGTGGAGAGACTGCTTTGTAGGAAGAGTGCTCTATTCTAAGCCTCATGACGTAAGTTCGATCCCAGGAACTCTCATGCTGCAAAGAAACCACTCCCAGCAAACTTATCTCTGACCTCCAAGAACCCATAGTCATGTAGTGTGTGTGTGTGTGTGTGTGTGTGTGTGTGTGTGTATGTATGTGTGTGTGTGTCTGTACAGCTTTACTTGTGAGTGTTCATTGCAGACTCATTGGTCTGGTTCGATGCCTCTGGTTTCTGCTACGATATTAGTGTTGCACCTCACTGGAACTCCTGTGGATTATCCTGCTGTTGCCCTGTGTCATGGAGATCCTGCAATTTTGGGTCTGCTGGACTGGTCCCTTCACATGCTCCAGTAGATCACAGATGGTGGTGGATGTTGGGATGGGTCAACTCGTAACCCTGGTTCTGGGCCTGGGTAGTTACAGGGTTGGCCAGCCTGCCAGCTCTCCCCTGTCCTCACCTGGCTAGTTCGCCCCTTGCAGCAAGGAGAAGGGGTGGGGCCAGTTCTGCTTCTAAATCCTCAGGGTTGCTCTCCTACACCTACACCTTCAGGGCCAGCTCTGTGTTGCCCAGCTGTGGTGTATGGCCACTCTCCCAAGTGCTACAGTTGATGAGGGGCAGGGACAGTTCTCCCACTCTTAGGACCTCAGGGCAAGCTATCTCACCTGCCTCAGGCGCTGCTGGGGTGGGTGGGAATTTATCCACCACGTGACAGATGAGTAATGGGGACAGCTCTCCCATGCTCACACTTCAGGCTGACTCACCCTCGCCTCCACTAATAGAGCTGGCTCTATTGTGTTGCCCAGAGGTGCAGGGCCTGCTGCCTCCCACCTGCCTCAGGTTTCAGCTGGTGGGGGAAAGGGGTAGTTCTCCCTCCCACCTCAGGTGTTGATGGGGGTGGTACGTTTTTTCAGAAGGGCAAATTACCAGGCATGTTGGTCTTTAATCTCAGCACTTGGGAGGCAGAAAGCAGAACTTCTCCATGAGTTTGAGGCCATCCTGGTCTACAGAGTGAGTTCCAGCACAGCTGGAGTTATGTAGAGAGACTCTGTCTCAAAAACAAAATGAACAAACAAACATTGTTTCTGGTTCATACAGAAAATTTTCAGTTCTAGATGTTTGTATGAACAACGATTTCATTCTCTGAAACTTACCACTCCATTTTAGAAATGGTTCCTTTGCCCTCATTTGCATGTACCAGGACACCTGTTTGTATGTGACATCAACTGCCATGAAGCATGTCCCTAGTGTAGTCATCTCTCAGCAAGCCAAGGAGCTTCCTAGCTCTTGGGAGCCT